GCCGACAAGAAGTTCACCACCCACAGCGACAGTGGCTCTTCGAGTTCTACGACCGCCACCCAGTGGCATATCTCGATGAAGCTCAAAGTGCCTTCAAGCGTGTACACCGCATCATGTGTTCGCTGAGGGGTTGCCCCCATGGATGTATCGTCGTTCGTGGCGAGCCACTTCTGTCGGCAAAATTTGAATTGCACCTTCTCTCTCGTAGAACCTCTCTATATTTATATATTATCATATTACAGAGGTTTGGATTGGTTCTGAAATCACCCTCCAGATTGATTGAACCAATCGAGCATGGAAAATTCGACTAGAACTCACAATACTACTATTAATATTAAGAGTACTCCGTCGTGTACTATGCTTCCAATGTTCCACATTACACCAGACATAAGCAAAATGCATTTGTTCCGTATTTGTGTGGTCAATAATACTTCTGTATGATTGGCTACTCTGACAAATACAATGATATTATTGGCTGAAGTGATTACAAAGGCAAAATTTCACTGTCACAACATGTTTGCTTTGCGCACAGGGAACACGCGCACTCGCGCTTCGAGTTCAGGGTGAAGTACCCCAAGAAAATAAGCGCGGTTCATCCATATAGTACCAATATTATCATTTGGTGCTGCTGTCCAGGGGCGGCAGTTTCAAGCGGTTGTTACATCAGCCCCCCATTGCACGCAGCACGACTGGTGGCCAGAAGCTTATTCATTTGGAATTTTTATACTCTGAATTTCTTTAATTCACAGTCAATCTCGTTTTTCCTTGTCTCGACAACATTTTGACCCTTTTCGCTCAATGAGAGATACCTCTTCCAGTATTTTGAATTACCTTTCGAATACAGTATAACTTAGTTAGCACATCAAATTTGGTCAAGAAATGCGGGCAATGTCCAGAGTTATTAGAGTTTTCGGATATGGAACAAGAAGTACGTACAGTCTTACAGAGAACCACGTAGGAGCTGGCGCATTGTTGCACTCGTACAATATATGGTATTAACCTTAAGAATGTATGGGGAAAGTGATGGTTAATACTACGCCATTTTTCGATTAATTCAGGTTATTTACGGTATATTTCGTCCGAAGCACAACTGATTCACGCCATGTGCGTTACAGTACTATTAATAGTATGCTCGCCGAACATTCGACACATTTCGTCCAGACCCTACTATTAATAGTACATCGTTGCAGTATATTTCGACTTATGTCCGGTATATTTCACACATTGTTCCATAGCATCAAAGGTCCGACCGTGGAATGGTCATCTATGAATACATTTCTGGTAACAAAGACATGCGCCAGAAAATACCGGAAAACCAAAACTAATCTACCAATAGAATCTATGAGCCGGAAACACTTTCGCCCTGCCACATGATGGAGTGATTAGTATCGCCGTCTTGGATTCATCGCGGCACAGTCGCTGGCACGAGGTGACAGTGCGTTCACTGGGGTGTTCGGTCGTCCTGTGATGACTCTTCTGTCTTGCCATGGTGGTGCAACATGGCGTTGCCGACGGGGTCCGGCCATGGGTGGTCCGGCCATGGTGGGGCGACTTGGAGTTGCCGGCGGCATGTCCAATCACGCCTCAGGTAGTATATATATGTGCATGTGTATTGCTTAGTACTCAAATATGATGTCGAGTCGTAGGATCAATGGATTATTCAGTCACTGCTTGTTGCAGGCGTGGCTCTCAAGATTTAGTCGTTGTGACCACCGACGAGATGACAGGACCACTGGGCCAAGTGCTCCGAACATCAAGGGTCCGTGTCTACCTGGGTACGAATGTCCATACATGGTTTATACTTCTGAATATTTATGAATAACACCAATGTATATGCAGCAATCTTTACACGAGGCTTTAGTTGCTTTCGTCAAGGATGTCCAATGAAACTGGGGGGGTCGTCCACATGCACGAAGCTGGCGGTAATGGATAATCCTTGCATTGAGATGCCCCAGTCGATGAGTGCCTTGTACTGCTTTGAGAACAGCGTTGGTTCCCTTCGATTGCACGTTGTTGCTGCGCAGAAACTCCAGCGAAGCGATCTCTGCGGCAGCTCCTGTGGACAGCACGTCGTCGCGGAACGTTTGGCTGTCTTCGTCCAGCACAAACCCGTCGGGTAAGAACAACTTCATGTAGGCTACGATATGCTTCGACGTATACTTTTTCTGCTTCGATGAGCTGCCATTATAGACCCTTGGTTTGAGTGTGTACCACTCATACAACGTGGACCGCAAGGAAGCAACTGAACATTGCTTTTACCGTTTCCCTTTGCTGTTTGGCATGACTTGCCCGACTTTGACATCACTTTCCTTGCGCTTAGATGTGGCACAAGTTTGAAGCTTTTCCTCAAGGGCTTGGAGGCACTCCTCTTGTCGCCGTCCAATGTCGATGAAGTAGTCAATGACTGATGCCTGGTGTTGAATGAGTCTTTGTTCTGCGGTCTCGTCTGATGGTGGGGAGTCGTTCGACAGTTCACAAGTTGATGCTAACGGAACGGCTGCTACGCTGATAGGCGTGCTCAAGTGGGACGACCATGCCAACAAGTCGACGTTGCTGCACCCTGCCTAGGCCAGCACATTCCTCGAGGCGCATGATGGCAGGGCTTGAAGGGCTCAGCTGCTTGAGACTTGGATAGTGCAAAGGAGGGACGTTGTCAACAACATGCTTGTTGAGCTTGAACGATGGATTGCCAAGCCCAGTACACGTTGCAAATAGATGGCCCTGGACAGCGCGGATGCTTTCGGTCGTCTGCGAATCGAACGAGGTAAGATCCAAAAGCAGAATTGGTTCGTTTGGAGACCACCCGCTCAACACTTTGGTTACTTTGTGGTCTTTACTTGAGGTGTTGAAAATGTAGGTGAAGCCCTTGTTGGTTGCGGAGATGTTCCACGCCCCGGTCGAAGATCCAACGCGCCGTTAAGTGCTGTGATCCGTTCTCGTGTTGCGATCCAACACGACGAAACGAGTGAGATGTCAACTTGACGTCGATGCCTGAAGCGTCACCAATGCGACCAAGGATACGATTCACGTGACTGTGAATGGTAGGGTCGCGAGGCCTTGTCGCAGCCGAGGCCTTCACGTTCGTTGGGACTTCAATGGGGCCGGGAATGTCCAGGACGTCAATCAGCGGCGTTTCAGGGCCAAGGCTGTGAGCCACGTCAGTACTCTGCTCGGGTAGGTTGTTCGCGATTCGAGAGCATGGCGCTTATTGGGTTATCGTTGCAAGCGCCGTGGAAAGAAAAGGGCAGGTAGTAAAGTTTGAGTCAGTCCTTGCTCTTCACTTGTCTTTACTCTCACAAATCGTAGGAAGAAAACACCACCGCCGTCGATAGACAAATTGTGTTTTCGAACCATGGCCAAATCGGACGCCCGCCCAAGCAGATACCAAGCAACGCCAACAACGCAGCATCTGGGTAGTCGCTGGCAGTCGCAGCGTTTGCATACAGATAGCGTATCATTAATTGTAATGAGATCTTCGTGCATGCAATCGCTTGCTTGATGATCGCGCCGCCATCTTTCTTCGCACAGTAGTTCTGCAAGATCTTTCCCGCACGCAACAACTTGGATTCCACCAGAGCCTGTAGTTGAGGAAACTCGTCGAGTAGAGACATCTTGGCCTGGCGGAAGTACTGCATGCACGATTTCTTTGCAAGCGGAACGCCAGGTGCTCTTTCACATGCAGCAAGGTCAGCGCGGACTTCTCCATTACAGATGCAAAGCCCTGACCAGTGGCTTCCTTGCGCATACACGACTTGACATAGTCGACCTGCACTCGCTCGGTCTCAAGGAATTTCAGAAAGGACTTGATTCCCGTAGCTCGGGCATGCACGGTTGACTGAGGGCGTAAGCGATCCATCGGTTTGTTCAAGATCCGTCCAAGAGGCGTGTGATCGGACCTTTTTACAATGGCTGTGTTATGTGCTTACCTCATTATTTGTATACACATAACGCATAACATGAAACAAACTCCGACCGCATCTGCATAGATGACCGCCGTAGAGGACCCCCCTAAACCCCCTAACCCTAACGCTTTTGATTGGCTATAAAAGCACTGCCGAAGCACTTTGATTGGTTATATGTATAGTCTTAACGTCTTATTGGTTAGAATATCCTATACAAATTCAGAGATTGGTCGGACTTTTCGTATTATTCTACCATATATTTCAAATGATGTTCCATCTATTTCGATTTTTCATGTTAGCAAATCCACGCGCTGCTTCATCAGGCGCTAATTCCATTTCACCCACGTTTTCGCCAAGTCCGTAGAACAACTTGAGCTTCAAGGTGTACGATTGTAGAGGATTGACGTCGTCTCATATTTATGACGTAGACAAGTTCAAAACGCTATCCACTACCTGGGAGATGCAGGAAATGAACAAAAACTCGCAATTATCTCGCATGTCGACTAAGTCTGTCCTTTATGCAACATGCTAACGTACTTCAAAATGTTCACTTCATAGGTGAGAACATGAGGATGTTGGGATGCAAGTACATTGGTTGTGTTTACCGGTTTGCCAGATCTCTCGCAAGTTGTATTGGAACGGTATTTTACCTGAGTCTCAATGTACTGTACATTATACGAACGTTGTATTGAATTGTTTTATATGGTTTTGAACGTTACATGTGGAAATGCATGATCTTTTAAAAATTGACATGTAGTATTGCTGCGATGTGTATGCTGCGCTCGCACATGTGCGCATATGCGGAAGGTCCAAGCGCAGGTGTTCGAATTCTCGGGAGCGGCTCTGGAGGTGAGCAGAAACTGTGAGATCATGTACTCCATATGTTTAGGAAGGTAGTGCATGCAAGCATTCTTACCTACGTGGAGTACAGAGGACGAAAACGACGACGGTGGAGGACAAATTTGTAGTTTTTCGCGCACGTGCGTGCACATGCGCATGAGATGCCGCTAAACAGCTTATCTGTATTTAGCTGCCACGGTGCAGGTTGTGATGTGCACATGTGCCGTGTAATAGTCTACAAGTTGATATGCGTCCCATCCCTCGCCACCATTCCTAGCCTATGTATTCACCCACCAAAGTTCCGCATTTTGCTCATAAGCGCATGTATCGAGTGTCGAACCATGATCACATGCGGAGGTGAACCTTTTTTTTCTGATATAGAACGGGTTGAGAACGGTACTAAATTTATATATATGTGAAGACAAATGTAAGAACCAGGAATTAAATTTCACATCCTATCCGACAGGTGGTGGGGCAAATACCCTGTTTAACCCTGCAAACAGGACAGAATCATCAGTTTGTCAAACGAGCGACTTGGTAAAAGGACGAAAGGAGTCAGCAATTATATGATCGTCACGGCGATGTCTGTTTTCATGTTAACGTTATTGGATTGCAATGTGAAATTTACGGCCAGTTCCTGCAACTCCCTGCGATTTACTTACTGTTAATTTGCACGTAAAATCATTTGAAATATACTGCGGAGTATTGAACAACGTGCGAAATATACCGCCTGTGGGGTAACATATGCCTGACATTAATCGAAATATACTACGACGACATATGGTCTGGACGAAATATATGGAATGTTAGGCGAATGTAAAGCACATGGCGTGAATCAGCGTCAGACGAAATATACCCGAAATAAACTGAACTTAATCGAAAAATGGTGTAATATTTTTTATAACGTAAAAGTCCAATTTTCTGTTAACAGTAAGAACACTCTTTCCTAGCAACGTTATGGCAGGCATGTAACTCGACTCGTACGTATCGAATTATAATTCTACAATATCTTGCATGAAGCCAAAATCCAGGCCTATTCGGGAGTTAGTGAATGCGAAATGTTACATGGTTGTTATAAATATCAAGTGCAACTCATTGCGATTTACGCTACAGATGGCCAATTTATGGTGCACTTGAAAGTGACCTCGTCGTAGAAAGCAGCTTACTCGTCTCTCAGGACCGAGATTTCAATTCTGAAAAGTGCTGCATGAAGCCAAAAGGTTGGGATTCTTCTGGTCATTTAATCGGCTTGAATGGACTTCAGCTTAGTGTTCATTTCTTTGATCTCCACTCAAGTCAAGGCAAAATAAGAGGGGCAGTTTAAGGTGCACGGTTTAAGCTTAAAATATGCTTGCTGTTTTTGCTTATTTTTGGTGATTTCATTTTTCTAGTAATTCGATTGGCTATTCGAAACCTAAAGCAATTCCATTGGCCAATTTGAGTGCACCTTAAACTGCCCCGTGCACCATAAACTGGCCAACTACACTACTATTGATTTCCCCCTGGATCGAAACGGGAATAAATATGTCATTTGCACAGACTATAAAGAAATAGAGGTATCGATTATGGAAACAACACATAACAACCAATAAAATTGTGATCAATTTACTCAAACTCCATACCAGCCATGTTCAGACTTAAAGCAGACAAATCTGTGTCAAGAATGCCAGTACAGTTTCAGAAGTTGACGACTGTCGATTGCGACACTGAGCGCCAGGTATCCATGACCCATGCCATTATTTAGACAAGAGGTACTTCATACAGGTTTGTCTTGTCGGCCTTCCATAACCATTTCGATTTGGACTAGGGCGCTCTGAAGCTGGAGCTGCTTGACCTTCGCCTTGAAAGACGCAACAATGACGGCATCCTATGGCTGCAGTTAGGCTGTTGTGTTTGGAGGCCGCATCTTCACCACCACATTTGTCTATAGTGCCTCATCCGCTAGCTTGTGTGTTGTCCACAAGTACAGGGGAATGCAGAATGCATGGCCTAACGAAGTATCCAATATTACTAATGTAGTATTGTCCAATGAAATAATTTCGCACATATACCGTGTTTTGATAGGATATATTTTATTGTCCCGCCAAAGCGCCAATTCAAACAATTTCAAGTCATTATTTTACAATAGCGCACATCATGTACCCGATAGCCTTCAAGCATCAAGCGTTGGGTCTACTTGAGACAATGAACGACTATGAAGATGCCGCCGAGCTTGGTGTAGCGCGGCGCACCATTCGAAACTGGCAAAGCAAACGCTCCGAACTCCTAGCCTATAATGGCAACAAGAGGCGAATAAAGCTCAAACCTGGCCGCCGCCCAGAAGTGTTTCCTGGTCCAACCGGAATGCTTGAGTTCATCAATGGATTGAGGGACGCTGAGCGTGCGCTGAGCGTGCGCTTACCACGATCCATGTGGTCACCTGGATCAAGCGTAACCGGCGTGCATGGCTCGTATCGTACTTGGCCAACAAGAAGCCGGGCACTGGATAGAACTCCCTCCTCCTCCTTTTTCGACGCTTTTCCGCTCGACATGGACTTTCAAGACAACGACCTGGTACATGCAAACGGAACCAGGAAGACCTGGAGGACACGCGCGACATCTTTGCGGCAGAATTTCATCCTGAGTATCGTGCCCATGGGTCGGAAAGCGTGTATAACGTAGACGAGACAGGTATATATTACGATGTGCCGCCTAACTACATTTGGCTTGTTCGCGGTGGCAGCTCGAAGATCTCGTCGGGGGAGAAGCACTCCATGCGAATGACTGTAGTTTTGACTGCCAAAGCCGATAGAACGAAGCTGCCTATTTTATTCATCATGAAGGGTGTACCTGGTGGCCGCATTGAGGTGAATGAGTTTCCGACCGTTCCCGCCGGTCACTCCTACGCTGTTCAAGAAAAAGCTTGGATGGACTGTCGCGTTTGGAAGAATTACCAGCGCACGGTAATGCATGACGGCATCGAAGAAGCGTCCGTTATCCTTGTGGATAATTTCGAATCGCACGTGCCTGAGGCATCCTACAAGATTATCAACGAAGAGCTTGGATCGCACCTATGCCCATTGCCGCTGAACTCGACGACCATGTGCCAACCCCTTGACGTCGGCGTGATGGCTTCTTTCAAGCGGCACCTACGGGAACTGTGGCTTTACGAAGACATCATCACGGGAGATGACGACGATCCATTTTCACTGACCGCTCGTCAAAAACGGTTGGCTTTGATCAAGAGAGTCATCGCTGCTTGGGACATGGTGTCCACCGAGACGATTCGTGGCAGCTTTGAAAAGGCACTTCCTCAGGAGCCAATGGATTGTCAATAATTCGATTTTGTATGGTGTGTTTATATCATGAGATTTTTGTATGAGCCGCAATGATTCTTTTTTAAATAGGAAAAAGTTTTACACTCCCCGGGATTTGAACCCGGGGCCATCCTCTATAATTGTTATGCCATCGCACTAACTGTAAACCATTGCGCCACCGCGTCAAACGCTTACGCTTGTTTCGTGTTTGCTGTATCAATCATATTTGAATATTATAATTTGCACTATATGATTAAATGGCATGTCAATTTGACTTCGACAATAGAAAAACAACACATCAAAAGTTGACGCATAATTTAATCTCCTCCAAAATTTAAATCATTTCAACAGTGATTTGAATATTATTTTGACTACCCGGATGCCATTGGTCGAAATAAAAACCGTACTTCGAAGTACAGTAACCAATCAGATGATGCAAAGGTCGAAAAGTCGAAGGTAAAAGTAGGCCTTGCATTCTGAATTCCCCTGTATCAGAATCTTGCTGTCCTTGGCCACTATGCGATCGTTGTAAGCATTGAATATGCTACCATTCATCCATGACTTCTTGCTTGACGTGTATTCGAAACTAAGTTCAGCGCGCAACTGTCCATTAAAGCAGCGTGGTCGAACAGCAGTCCCTATGAACAACGGGTCGACCACATCGGAGCCGTCTGCGCTGGTGGTGAGTTCAAGTGTGATTCAATCGACCGGTGCGGCAACAAGCACTAACAGTACAGAAAGGAGGTTTCGTCCATGTTGTAGACGTCGTTCGTGTTGTAACCATTCGTTACTTGTAGAATTTGCTGGTGACCGTCGACAACAGCAGCCGCACGTGTCTAGGCAGCTTTGCCGTGCTGAACCTTGCTGATGAGTCTGTGTTTTCGTTGGAACGTGTATAGCCAACTCTTTGAAAACGATAGGCGCTAGCTCGGTGGCGCTTCGATTTGGACACAGAATGCCAACGCTTGCTTTCGGATAAGCTCTCCAGTGATGCAGACCCCTAATTCCTCACAAAGGAGGACCCACTGGACAACGTTATTCAACCTCCGGCAGCAAGGCGGCACGATCCATAACGTGTCCGACCATTGATGGGCCAACTTTTCTTCATTTTTAATCTCAATTATTTCGGTTGTTTTTTGTTTTCCGAGTGGGAATGATACATTTTCGGATAAGTAATGATGAGTACTTTATGAATAACTCCAAGGATATCGACTTAAACAGTTTAGGAATGTACAGGATTTTTTCGAAGTCGAGCAGTTTACACAGTCGACCATTGATGGGCCAACTTTTATACTTGAACTAATTATGAAGAATCCAGGTGTCAGTTTTTTTACATCCAGCGAGAAATAAAAATTAATAGAGGTTTACCAAGTCTGAACAGGTATCACGTATTGGAGTCTCAGTTGGAAAATAACATTTCCAATGTTATTGGCACACGTGGAATAATAATATACACCTCATATTGTAACTCGTTTGTGCAATGTAGCTCGTTTGTGCAAACGTTGGTGAGTATGCGCAAAACCCCGTTGTACGATACTTGGACAACCTGGTTCGTGTGTCATTCAGCAATATTTCTTCTGGTGCCCATTGCGGGTATCAGCGGCGTAAGTTTCGTCACCACCAAGTGTGCCTGCGTCCGTTCCGTACCCTCACACTGTAAAACTCCTCTACAACGGGAGTAGGTTGGGTCAGGGCAAAGGTTAACCAGTGAAGATTATTCTTCGAGGTGGGCACGGTGCCTAAGGAATCTGAATATAGCATAAATCATAACAGTTAGTATAACGTTAACCAAAAATAAATCTTTTTCTTGTATCTTTTAACTTCGAACAATAACAACATTTAGTATAAACAATAATAACATTTACTCAATTAACTGTCATTTAACTTGAAATTGCAAACAATACCAATCACTTTGCAACTAATCTATTAGATTATTCAAATTTCTACTACTTCAACAATGTTGACCTCATTGGCCATTTCTGAAGCTGCTACTTGAGTTGCCTTCTTCTTTCGCTTTGGTTTCGCCGCCGATTGAGCTTGGAGCAACTCGTGGTATTCGGCCGTGATAAACTTACCACTAACCGTCAACGTCTTCCTTGTCACATTTTTTCGCTTCTTCTCAGGTGGCAAAAGTAACAACTGGGTACGAACCAAATCGATACGTTGCAGCCACGATGCTTGCACTGCTTCGTCGTCCACTTCGGCAGGCTTAAAAATCGACAGCCGATACAGCAACTTGTTCAACGACGAAGGACACAACCCAGTTGGTAATTGCTGCTTGACTTGTATCGTGAGTCCAACGTCACACGCGATCTTGATTGCGTTCTGCTTGGTTATGTTGGAGCTGACGTCAGTCCAACAGTGGTCAGCGATTTGGTTTCGGATCGCTTGTTTGAAAGGTCGGAAAACAGTCTGTTAGACATGAGCTATCAGG